ACGTGGTGGTCTGCACGGAACCGGCGGAAAAGAAAATTGTCGGAGATGCTGCTGGTGGTGGCTGCACGAACAGCTCAGTTGTCACGAAGTGGACTCTTCCCATTCGTACGTTTGGTGTTTGAGGGATCTTGCCTATAAATCTTATAGTGTAGATCACAGCGGCTTTTTGTAAAGTGCCTATATCTCTATCGCCATCGATGTCGAGAAGTTAAAATTTTGCCAAACTTATCTCTTATTCTTTATTTTATTTTACAGCTCCCCCTGCGGCAACAGAATTGTCAGTGGCTGCACCCGCATTTGGAGAACTGGAGGTGCGTTGGACTAATCCGAGCAACATAAATGGTATACTACTTCCGCCCACAGCAATTTTGCGTTCCTCGGATGGGACCTCAGAAGCCATCTGTACCGGAGCAAATACGGCCTCATCTTACATTAAATGTTCTAACTCCAGTTTAAATAATTATACTGAGTATCAAGTCTACGTGGTGGTCTGCACGGAAGAGGCGAATAAGACAATTCCGGGAGACGCTGGTGGTGGTGGCTGCACGAACAGTTCACTTGAAACGAAATGGACTCTGCCCATTCGTATGTTTGCTACTTGAGTGCCTTTTGTCTCAGAATCTCTTGATGCAGATGACAGCGGTGTTTTGTCAAGCAATTAACTGTCTGTTTTTCACTTTACAGCTCCTCCAGCGCCAACCAATTTGTCAGTGGCTGCACCCGCATTTGGAGAACTGGAGGTGCGTTGGACTAATCCGAGCAACATAAATGGTATACTACTTCCGCCCACAGCAATTTTGCGTTCCTCGGATGGGACCTCAGAAGCCATCTGTACCGGAGCAAATACGGCCTCATCTTACATTAAATGTTCTAACTCCAGTTTAAATAATTATACTGAGTATCAAGTCTACGTGGTGGTCTGCACGGAAGAGGCGAATAAGACAATTCCGGGAGACGCTGGTGGTGGTGGCTGCACGAACAGCTCAGTTGAGACCAAGTGGACTCTGCCCATTCGTACGTTTGGTGTTTGAGTATTTTTTGCCTAGAAATCTTCTCTCTTTTGACTGGGTGTTTTACAGTGGTATTGATGTGTCTTTACGCTGCATATGTTCACTCATAACGTTCTGCGTTTTGCTGGAAGTAATTATACGTTATATTTGCAATTAACATTGAAACTAATTTGCTTTTTTCTGTGTCGACTTATTAGCTGTTGAGCCTAGCCTGCTAGCTGCCTTGGACGAAGAACTTCCTCAGTCAGACGCAGCAGTGCCAGACCCAGAGACCCAGATAGGCATCAAGGTGGCCTTGTCGAAACTTTCGATCGATAAAATTGGTCCAGTGTCCACCGTGACTGCTCAAATTGAACTCGCAAATCAGAATTCCATGCGCCACGCAAATCACTCTCTGTTCAGGGGACGTCGGACTTTGGAAACCCCCCGCGGGGGATTTTTGAACGGTGTATGTTTTCTAAACTTCCTTTTTTTGAATCCCCGAGGGAGCGATTTTTTTCTTATATTGAACTTTTAAAATCCCTATGGTAACGTTATATGGACACATACCTGTTTATTCAACTAAAACAAGGGCTTCACTGTAGGTATACCTGCATGTCCGTGTAGTAATCAAAATTTCAAGATTTACTATATTCTCGCCGCCGTAGTTAATAGTTTGTGGGAATGTGAAACCTACCTCCATTGAACCTTAGAACATTTAGCAGATTGAGCAGTTTGGATGCCAACTGTTTCAACTCCCTCTGAAGATTGTATTAACCCGTTACTGGTAGAATTGCT